CGATTCCCCCATATCGAAGTGTATCCGTATTGTGACTTCAGAATGTGGGTAATTTACGTTGATACCTGTCTTATAGCTTATGTACCACAATCCCTTCCCCTGAGAAATGACCATCGGGGTCTTCGGTTATCCGATAAGGCAATCACATATATTCTATATATTAAGAGTTTCAACTTTAAGGCCTTCAAAATTGCTAAGGGTTCCTTCTTCACAATGACTCGCATTATTTCGGTATCCTTAAGTTGCGGAGTGTAGTATAGAACCAAACAAAAAAGACCGTCGTATTGTTTTCAGTACTGCTGCCATTGCGTATTGGGTGGTATAAGCAGAAGGGTTCCATTTCCTCTTAAATTATGTGCCATGAACAACAGTTTCTTCGCCAGAACCCTGAATGATTCCTCCTTTTTATTTTCCCAGATGAATTGACGCATCACGAGATGTCTTGCCTATTGAGCGGTTTGAATAGCAATCTAACAATTCAATCCTTAGAATTTTCGTACTTCTTAACCCTTGGGTCTGGTGAACGCTTACAGTACTGTTAAAAGCCTTCACTTCCCTTTTCCCACTCCATGCCCTAGAACAGCTGCACAGTCTTCCCTAAGGTGACCCGTATACGGTAAAGGGGTGCGTACTTGTCCTGATAGAATTGAGGTTCACGAACTCTTATTTCGGATTCATCAAAGAAAATAATATAGAAACTGTTTAATTGTGGTTTCATAATTAAGCGTAATTCATTACTTCTCTCTCAAATCGAATATGAGATAGAATTGTTACTGATATTTTTTCTTTTATTGGTAGCTGGACTCGAAGTGTCAATGACCATAAGTCAGTGTTAAAAATATAAGATGGCACAAATTCACGTCCTCTTGACTAATCTTTATCAGTCAGTCGTCTCTCTCCAAAGACGGCGAATTGTGCACTTTTATCTTTATTAAATTTATCGTTGACTTTAACTGCAAACTCTTCTGTATTAGATGAATGAGCACTCGATTCACTGGCCTGTGATATCTTCATTGGTACTAGGGATATCAAACAAAGCCCAGATTCGGTCTTTGCCAAATTTCGGCTAGAACTACCGCAGTATTTTTCCATTAGATGTCTTACTTGTTTCTTTATTCCTCAGGGAGTACGTACAAAGGCATTGACTAATATCAAAACATTTTCTCTAAACGAGTACAATAAATATATATATATATTTTTTTATACGAATAACCAGACTAACTAGCACCACCCTACGCTTTAAGACCTCACACACGAATTCTTTGGCAGCTGGAGTGTATCTGTGGAAAAGGAAGAGGAAGAATATACCAACATATCAAAGTTTCAAGATCCACCTTTAAAGCCTGGGCAGAGAGATCATCAAGTTCATTAATATTAGCTTAAAGAATGTATCTGTGGAAAAGGAAGAGGAAGAATATACCAACATATCAAAGTTTCAAGATCCACAATAAAGTATAAAAAGCAATATTCGATCTATTTCAGATTCCCCTCGAGCCCCCCTGTTCAACGAATTTTTCTTCATTTACAAGTGCAGATGTTACAGGTGAATAAATCGTTGTATCCCATTCGTATTACATTCACATAATGTCCATTGTCTACTTTGGATTACGTGCATTAAAACAAAGGTGTAATTATTTTCAAGCAAAAGAGTCGCAGCAGACGAGTGTGGTTGCAGCAGACCAGGATGTGGCACAAATAACATCCAGTCGCTGTTGCGAACGCAGAGCCGGCAGCAGATTCTCTACTGATCTTGCTTACTATTATTCATTCTTGTGAACAACCGCGGCAGCAAGCATTCTGTTGCGAAAGCAGAAAAAAGCTCACCCGGGCGACTTGAGACCAGTCCGTTAATTTACTAAGGCTCCGAATTTGTCTGAACCTAAAGCAGTGTTTCCCAAACTTTTTCGCGTGCGACCCTAAAGAGAGTTAACCTGGGCTAGCGACCTTAAATATGTGAATATGTAGTAATATATCCAACCATCTTCATGGTAGTTATGCTTGCAGCTGTATATTAGCTTTCGTTATACTATACCTGTATTTGATGTTACCAACACATTGAATTTCAATAAACAAGTGTCAATAAAAAAAAAAAAATACTGATATATACAGCTATGGATTCTTTTATTCTTCTTTTAAGACCCTCTAGCGATCCTCAGAAAAGCCCTGTTTATCCTCAACTGGGTCGCGACCATAGGCATGTGAACCATTGCCCTAAACAAAACGTGTGGTATCAAGCGGATGTCGGAAACGAAATTCGAAACATGCTCGACAATTTTTTTTACCACAACTGTACAACTCCACGACGTTATCGGGACTTGGGCACATGCATGTCCCGAACAAGGTCGGTCTTTCACTTCCGCAAGGAATTTATTTCGCTCATTAAATGACGGAGAAGTGATACCTGATCGTCCGCCTCGCCACAAATTCGTGTGTGTGTGTGTGTGTGTGTGTGTGTGTGTGTGTGTGTGTGTGTGTGTGTGTGTGTGTGTGTGTGTGTGTG